GGCTTCCAGGACTGCATCAGCTTGTTGAAACATCGCAATCTATATTCCGCCAGTCCCTGGAGTCTGCTTTCCGCCATGCCTGCCTTCAGTGCACTTTGGACTCTGCGATACCACCGGTTCTTGTTCGTTGAACGCGTCCCTTAAGTGGCCCCAGAGCCCCGGTGTGTTTCATGCTGGCATAGGTTGATATACCCTAACAGGGGAACGAAGGATCCCAGCCCCTTGAGAGAGTACACCAGGCACCTACAGGGCACTTTTGTCTGCAAACGCAAGCGCGGAAGGCGGCGCGCAACTACAGGGCAGAGGAAAGGAGAGGCGTGGCCAAAGGATCCCGCCCATCACAGCTGGAGGCCCCGCCCCCGATCGGCACAAGGACACGCCCGGAGCCGCCAGTGATTTGCATATCCAGGGTGCCCCAGGAAAAGGACTCCACGCTATTTGAGTTCCATTCCCACGGACATTTCTCCACGAATGTGAAGACATAATATCTGCTAGAGGCAGGTGACACGTGTGAAATGCACGCAGTTAGCACGGAGAGCGTAGTCTGTTAACCACCATAAGTAAGTTAAGAGGTAGGACCCTCTGGGAGTTTGAAGCCCGAAACTCAGAAGTATACTCTGGTTTCTCTTCAAATCGTATAAATCTTTCGCCTTTTACTAAAGATTTCCGTGGAGAGGAACAATTATGAGTCTTTAACCAATTTTTTGATGCCTCGGTTTTCCGGGGCTCCATTTCATTGTTAAAGAGAAGAACCAAGTGTAGTTTACTCCAGAATGTGCTGTTAAGTGTACTTGAGTTCAGAATGGTATCATAAAAGGAGATGTTTTCTCTCAGAAAACATAGGAAGTACGCGGACCTCTGTGATCACGAGGTGCCGAAGGCGTCAGTTATCAAGCTTCAAAGAACAAGAAATCATGCCATTTGTGTGCTCACCTTCCTGACAGGATCGCTGAAGACAAAGCTGGTGCATCAGCAAATGTGGTGGATAAAGCTGAAAAGAAACAGCGTCTGGGGTCTTCAAAGGCTTGAAGGTGAACAGCAAACTCAGGTAAATCTAGCTCAGAAACAACAAATCCCACATGAATAGAAGCAGCCAGCCTGAGTGATCATGAGGTGTCGAAGGGCATCATCAGAGCCAAAAGTCCTATCATTGTGAATGAGGGGGAGTGCGGGGTGGAGACCCAAAACCCATCTGTGGGCAATTGCACATCCCCTTAAGAAAGGGTCGCAGGGAGGAGAGGAGCCAGAGTGCAATGTAGCAACGATGAAACATACAGCTTTCCTCTAGTTACTGTTTCCTGCCCCCACCCCCCAAAAATCATGATCCCAATTCTACCTTACAAATCTGGCTAGACCAGAGGACGTACATTGGTACAGATAGGAACTGGGAATCCAGGGAGGATGATCCCTTCAGGACCAGTGGTGAGAGTGGCAATACTGGGAGTTGGGTGGAAAGGGGGAACTGATTAATTACAAGGATCTACATATAACCTCCTCCCTGGGGGACGGACAACAGAAAAGTGGGTGAAGGGAGACGTCGTCGGACAGGGCAAGATATGACAAAATAATAATTTATAAATTATCAAGGGCTCATGAGGGAGAGGGGGGTGCAGGGAGAGAGGGGAAAGAATGAGGAACTGATGCCAGGGGCTTAGGTGGAGAACAAATGTTTTGAGAATGATGAGGGCAATGAATGTACAAATGTGTCTTACCCAATTGATGTATGTATGGATTGTGATGAGTTGTATGAGCCCCTAATAAAATGATTAAAAAGTGTTCTTTTTACAGTGCTTGTCTTAGACATCTGGGACCACGGGCTGGTCCTTAATACTGCCCACATCTGTTGACAGTGGAGCGCTTTTCTTCATTTGCCAATTCCATAGAGATACAAGGTGAAGATTGAAACATGCCATGCCAATCAGTCACATTCGAGCATGTGCTGTAACCAAACATGTTTTATCCATTTCCATGCTACCAAACCTGTTACTCACACAAAACGTGATTCTGACTCACAGCCACACTATGCCCGTGTGTCCCCGACTGAGAATCTCTGCCAGTGCACCAGCTTATCTTTCTCCTGCAGAGCAGCATCATGGTTTTCTGAAATGCTGACCTCGCAGTTAACAGCTCAAAGCAAAACCTGTAACCCGCTATGCCATCAGGTCTCTAATACAGAACTGCCTCATATGGTTTTCTAGGCTCTATTTCTTTAAGGAAGCTAACTGCCACTTCTCTCGCCTACACAGGGTAGTTGGTAGATTCTGACCGCCAATGCCATTGCTACTACCCTGGTTCAAAAACCTCTGCCTGGATTACAATAAACTCCTAACTTCTCCATGAACCACTCTTGCCCCTTCTCTCCCATCCTATCCCATCCCCTTCACCATAATCCTCTCCACAGAAGCCAAATCGATTTTTTAAAGCGAATTTACTCACACAAACAACACTCTTGCACAGGACCCTACAATGCCTTTTCTCAGGACACATGGCTCCTGCCCTCTTCCTTCAAATGCTCTTACCAGAGGCCTTCGTGCATCCAGCTGTATGAAAAAAGGCCTCACTCCTACACCGGCTTATCCTCTGAACCTGTTTTATTTTTCTTCACAGTACAAACTACTCTCTGAAATTATGTTGTTGTTAGCTAGCATCAACTCAGCTATGACTCATGGCAACCTTATATTTAACAGAACGAAGCCTGAAAGTATATCATTTATTTCTTGTCTATTGTCTTTTTTCCCCACTAGAAAGTAAGCTTGATGAAGCTGGAACTTTACCTAATTTGTTTTCTGATGTATTCCACAACCCAAAAGCAAGGCCTAGCTCATGAGCACTCAATATTGTGAAACAAATGAACATATTGAATTTATTTCCCAAGCATTTAATTTCTAACCACGTTACAAAAGTATCTTCTTCCTAAGAACTCTACCAAGTGAGTTCTACTCTACTAGAACTCTCCGTTCTCATCAACTAGGAAACTAAGACAGAGAGAGGCATGCACTGCTACCTTTTCTTTTAACAAAAGAAATGATGCCCTATGCCCTTATCAATGAAGATAATAGGCATCTTTTTACAATTACTGTAGTAATAAACCATCGTTAATTGGTCATCTGTTGATGGACAAGGAGCCCTAGTGGTATGGTGGGCTACAAGTGGGGCTGCTAACCAAGCACAAGGTCGGCAGTTTGGACCCACCAGCTGCTCCCCAGGAAAAAGATGAGGCTGTCTATTCTTGTATAGATTTAGTCTCAGAAATCATTGGGAGCAGTTCTACACTGTTCTGTAGGATCACTGTGAGTAAGAATCCACTTGATGGTAGTGGGTTCTATTGATGAAATATAGGTTCTTTCCAATTATTACCCCCACACTGCCGCTGCTACAGAATTGGTACTATTATAGATAACCATATTTTCAGACTTGAGACAATCTCAGATAACTCTTTAATCCATGTGGAATGTATTATATAAAGTCTTTGAGACAAAATCTTTGTTTTTCCAAGTGATCAATTATCCTTTATTTTAGATTGATGCCATATTGCTCTTCTTTCATCGTTTTAAAACCCTGCTGTTGTCCAGTCTAGTCTAACTGCTCCACACAGAACTGATCCTTAGGGAAGGCTGAATTCTGCAGAAGCAGGTTGCCAGGCCTTCTTTCTTCCATGGTGTCGCTGGGTGGGCTCAAACCTCCAACCTTTAGGTTAGCTGGTGAGCACACACCATTTGCACCACTGGAGGAGTCTTTATGGAATAAAGTGGCATTCACATAAGAACATAAAGCCATTCACTTAGCATTTGCAGAGCGTGGATCAGGTGATAGGGTCAGGGAAGAAGAATGAACAGGGGCACCACTCCAAGAATTTTTCTCCAGTAAGATTCAGGTCCTGCAAAAGACGCATCTGAAGGGGCAGCACCACAAAAAGTCTCCAATACCCTTAAGGAAATCCGGAGCCAGAGGACTAGCGGCTGCAGTGGTTTCCTAGACAGCAAACCTTTACTGGAACAGACAACCTCATTTCTGGGGCCGAGAGACTGGTAGGTGTGAACGTCCAACCTTGAGGTTAGCAGCAAAATAGCCAACCCACAATGCCACCAGTGGCTACAGGAAGAGTAAATATATGCCAGTTAAGCCACTTTTGGAGGGGTCATATTTTGTACTGAAGGCAATGGGGGATACTGAAGAGCTTAATCGTGGGGAAAGGACGATTGTAAGACCGGAATTGTAAATGATCTGGCTTCAGTGTGGGAAATGGACTGAGGGAGAGGCGGATGGAGTGAAAACAGAAAGGGTAATTAATTAGCACCTATGACAGCAGTCCCTTAAACTGACAGGCTGGCTCAATCCAGGGAGGATAAAACCAAACCAACTGGAAAGGTCGCTGAGCAGGTAGAAGCAAGAGAAGGCAGGTGAGGAAAACAAATGCGATAGGGGGGCTGGGAAAGAGAGAGAGCTGGGTTTAGAATCGTTCTGAGGGGGCTGTAGGTCACTCACAGAGAAACCTCCTGGAGTCAGGAGTGGAATTTAAGAGGATTCATCTGAAAAGATATCGGGTGTTACCAGAGTAGCAGGGGCGGGGGGCAGCACCTACGCACAGGGTGTGGAGCGGAGGTGGAGGGGTGCAAAAATGTGTTTGCTTTGAGTTGCCATCTCCAGGGGAGCCCCGGTGGTGCAGCAGTTACGTGCTGGGCAGCTCACCCAGGCGAGCACGGTGAGCAGATGAAATATCACCAGCGATTCCAGGGGAGAAACAGGACTTTCTTCCCCCTTAAAGAGTTGTAGTCTCGAAACCCACAGGCGTGCTTCTCCTCCGTCCCGTAGACCCACCGTGAGTGGGAATCGAACTGATGGCAGTGATTTTGGATTTTGAGTTTTCCCCCCACAAGGCTCAACGCTTCACGCCCCGCCCCACGCCACATCCCAGCGCGCCCTCCGAGGACGCAGCTCCGGGCGGGGAGCGAGGCGCGGAGCCCGGCTCGCCTAGCATGCTGGGAACGAAGCCGGCCCGCGCGCTGAGCATGCCGGGAGCTGTAGTTTCAGACCGGTCGAGCGGCTTCACTGGAAGGGCAGGTCCAGAAAGCGATGATGCTCTCGGGGCAGGGTGCCCCTCCGACGACGGCACAGGGCGCCCCGCGCCACATCCCCTCGCCGCAGGGCGTGACACCTCCACGCCTCCACGATCTGTTCCACCTGCAGGCGGGAGCCTGTCACCACGGGGCCCAGCGGTGACCCCTGGTCCCGCAGACTATGGGCCACCCCCACCCCTACCCCCACCTCGCTCTCCCTCCACGCTGCCGAGTGGATCTACGCCTGGCTCGTCGTGTCCGCACCGGGATGAGCGGCTCTCGCCGGTTCTGCTCTTCCAGGGCCCTCAACTCCGCCGGGGCCAGCAAGGCCAGTCTCAGCTCCCGCACCACTGGGGCCGCCAACTCGGCCACCGGCCGCTCCAACACCGCCTGCGAACAGCAGCCCTGAGCCCGGGCGGGCGGGCGGGGGCACGAGCCCCGCCGCCCCCTCGCGCAATTCCTGCTGCCCTCCCCACGTCGCCCCAGTCCCCACTCACGGCGCCCACGCGCGCCCAGCTCCGCGCTGCCCTGATGAGCTCAGCCTCGTCTACGCCGAGCTTGTCGCTGCGCAACAGGGGCAGCAGGGCGGCCGCGGACAGCTCCAGGAAGCCACGAGTGCGGAGCACCTCCTGCAGGCGGCATGTGGGTCAGGGAGGCGAGTGGGGAGGACGGGTGTGTGATTTGGGGAGGGGGGGCAGTACCTGGCTGTGGGCCTCTATGAAGGTCACGCAGCGTTCCTGCAGTGGTCTCAGGCCCAAGGTGACCGCCACCTGAGAGAAGGGAGATCAAGTTGGAAATTGACGAGGTCATGTACCTTAGCGATCTGTACTGACAATTGCCGCCCCAAGCCTGACACAGGGGAGGGAGGCAAAGCCTTGGCTTACAGACTCAGGGAAGCCCCCCAGTTCGCACATGCCCACCCACTTACCCAACAGCTTGCGTTCAGAAAGCCAGTGGACGGGCAGTCATCCTCATCCTGGGGCCTATGCTTGGCTTCCAAATGCCACACTGCCTCTTCCCCACACCCCCTACTGGAGTCCAGCTCAGAACCACTTCCCAGCCCTGACAGAAAAGGCCAGCAGAGACCTCCATCCCAACTTCAAACGTTCCTGCACCTGATTCTGTTGACAGTGCAGGTTCCCACATGTCTGGGCAGAGTTCATCCATGAACATCACCTTACAGCAGCCCTGTCCCCTCCTGCTCAAGTTGTGCCAGGTCAGACAGAGGAGGTCTAGGCTCTTGGCACCATAGGAGCCCAGTTGCATGAGCTGAAAGAGCCCTGAGCTTGGGGCGCCCAGCAGGAAAAAAGTTGGGGTTCTCCTCCCTGGCCTGTGCAATGACACCCACCTGCAGGGCTTCACAAACCAGCTCCACATCCAACACCTTCACCACAAACTCCAGGCACAGCTGGGAAGAGACAGAGGTTACCAGTTACAGAAGGTGCTCCTGCACCATGACCCTGCCCTCACCCCAGAAGCCATGAGTCACTGAAAATTCTAGCAACCCTGGACCCATCCTGACCTCCCAGGCCAGGGAGGTAGAGAACCATCAGGGCCTGAGACTTGGCAAAACCCAGACGGCCAGAACTAGCAAGAGCACTCTTTCAAGAAACACACCCCGTGCTCATCGGATGAGAGGGAAGGTGTGCACACACTCCACTCTCTGCTTCTCTTCGGACCTTTATCTTCCTCCCCTGGCTGCCCACCTGACTGAAGGAAACCTTCTTTCAGCCAGCAACTCCAGTTTCATTCATGGGACCTGTCATTCTCACTTGCAGCAGAGTTCCCGGCCAGGCAAGTCTACCCACTTTTACAAAGCCTTCATCCACCGGTCCCCTCTGGCTTCCTCTGCTACTCCCCTCTGCACACATTCCTGACTGGCCAGGCAAGCCCTTCTCCCAGTCCCTTCTCCCAAATCTTCACCCTCTACCCTGAACCTTTACGTAAATCCGACTGCTCTCTAGAACCCTGGTGGTGTCGTGGGTTCCCACTAGCTGCTCCCAGGGGAAAGATGAAGTTTTGCTCCTCCTGGAAAGAGCTGCAGTCTCTGAAACCCACCGGAGGCAGCTGGACTCTGTCCTGTATCCTGTATGATCACTCTGAGTCGGAATCGACTCGCTCGCAGTGAGTAGTCACAGTACTGGTACTAGTAGTAGTAACTGCTCTCTGAGCCAAAAAAAAAAAGTCCAAGCTCGTGAAAGGGTTTATAGTGGTTCTCTACCTGTGGGTTATGACCCCTTTAGGGGTCAAGCGACCCTTTCACAGGGGTCGACCGATTCATAACAGTAGCAAAATGACAGCTATGAAGTAGCAACAAAACTAATTTTAGGGTTGGGGGGTCACCACCACCTGTATTTAAGGGTGGCAGCATTAGGAAGGTTGAGAACCACTGGTTTAGAAGGTCCCTGCTACCTTCTCCAGTCCCATCTGTCCTCTTCCTCGCACACCACTATTCAGTTACACTCACTGGCACCTTGTGGGCCTCTCTGACTAGAACTCCATCTTCCCACTCTCTCTTGGAACAAAGGCCTGCACATTCTACCAGATGCAGCACAAATGTTTCCTCCCCAGCAACTGCCTCCTCCTCCTCCTCCCTCCTCCTCCTCCCTCCTCCTCCTGGGGGCAGGACCATGCAGTCTCAGCACTGTGTACCCCCATCTAGCACTTCCTCTGTCGCCGCTTGTTTTCCTGTCTCTGTCCCTCTCTCAGTGCACAGCACCACAGACTACCCTGGATACCCCCTCAGTGCACGGAGCACATGGCGCCCGCGATCTATTGACGCAGAGAGAAACCCATATTTTCCAGGGTGTGTGAGACAGTGGGGCAGGGTGGGAGCTGAGCCAGTGAGAGGCCAGGGCAACAAGGCAGGAACCCACCTCTCGGAGTTCCTCCAACCCATACTCCACTGCCGCCGTCAGCACTTCCAGCACCTGCGAGTGGAGTGGGTGGGTGGGGAGCAAAAGGGAGTTTCCCCTGAGTGAGTCGGGCAAACTCTTCCTGCGTCTTGCACCCCAGCCTCCCCAACCCAGGCCCCGGCTCTCATGGGACTCACAGAATGGTGGTACAGCTTGACACTGTTGGTGTACAGGAAATGCAGCACAGCCAGGAAGGCTTCGGCCGGCACGGTGCTCAGCACCACGGGGCCAGGTGCCCCGGGGCCTGGTTCTGTGCTCAGAAGTCGCTGGAAGAAGTTGCATCTACAGGTCAACAGGCACCGGTGGGCAAATACCTCCCTCTGTTCTTGACCAACCACAAAGCGGACATCACTGTGGGAAAGAGGGCCAGAGAGCCAGGAGAGGAAGCCAGGATCGAGGATGTGGCCACTTGGGGCTCAGCTTCTTTATGGGTAAAAGAAGAGACTGGCTTTGAGCAGGCTTTGAATCATCAGGCCAGCGCCTTCCTAGCTCTGAATTGTTTCTCACACTCTATGATATGGGATGACCATCCCCAATCCTCAGGTCTTGGGAGGGGGTGCCTGTGCTTGGTCATCAGAGCTAATACAGGCGGGGAAATCAGAGTGATCCCTCAGCCTGAGTCTTGGGGGAAGGGGGGCGACCTTTGGCTTCCCCTCCAGTGGCTGCAAACTCATCAGATTCAGCCCTCCACCAGGGAGAAGGGCATGGGGGTGGGGTAAGCACAGGCTGAGGCCAACCACATTTTCCATCTTCACTATCACTTCCGGCCCCAGCCAGCCACGGGGCCTCCAAAGGGGGAGGGAGGAGACAGGACATGAAGCCTGCGCTTCCTGGGGTTCCCACTACTCTGGCCAGATTGTGACCCCCAAAGAATCAGGGAGATAGGAAGCCTCTGTTCTTGGGGAAGAGCCCAGCTCGGAGGCAGAGGGTGCAGAAAGCTGGCTTTGCCTTTCCCAAGACCAACCTGGCCCCTGGTTTCAGCATCACTAGCAAACCATGAGGCTCCAGTCAGCAACCTTGAGTAATTTCCTGTCTGGGCCTCCTGTTCAGTCCCTTGAGTTCTGTGCCTTTGGTGAATCCCCTGAGCAGGGGCCATCTGTCTTGGCCTCCCTGGAGAGGGGAGGGAAGCCCCAGCACCAAGTGGAGTTCACAGGTTCTATGATATCCATTTCTCCGCAGTCAGGAAACAGAAGACTCTCCTTCCACCGACCCCCCCCTGCTCCCCCACCCCACCCTCCACCGCTAAGGAGCCCAAAACCCAGAAAAGGCAGCATTTTGCTGAGACTGCACAGGAGCTGGGGGTGGAGGCACCCCTCCAGCTCACTGACCCCCACCTCGACTCTCGGAGCGTCTCGAACACTTAGTGACCAGTAGCCATCCTCTGTGCTGGACTTCCCCATAGATGGAGGATCACCGGAAAGGAGAATCAAGTCCCAATTCCCCAGGGCTTCCTCACGGTCGTGGGGCCCAGCACAGGCAGAGAGGGAAACCCACGGACAGGGCCCAGCCCCTCACCTGAACCGAGGGTTGTTGACGAGGCTTCCGAGTGCAGTGGAAAAGGGTGCAGGCTCCCCGTGCACCACCAGGCCCGGGGCCTCCATGGGTGGGATGAGATCAGGGGGCAGTGGAGGGAGTGGGGGCCCTGGTCTGGGAGGGGCAACAGTGGGGAGAAGCCGGCCTGGCCAGGAGCTACAGCTGGTGAGAAGACAGGAAAGTCTTAGAAGGAGCTTGGCAGGCCTGCTGGCTGAGAAGACGAATTTTAGGAACAGGGCCCAGAGAGGCTGGTGGGAGAGGCGACAGGCTCAGGACGGAACAGACACAGGGAGGGGCTCAGACGAGGCCGCCCCCGCCTGGAAAGAGCCAGTGGTCTGTCAGTAGGGAAGGGGCTGGCAGCAGTTGAGGCCCAGGGCTGGGAGCCTGGCCAGGCCGCGGCTGCGGTGGGAAGCCTGTGGGTTTCCATGGAAACTGGAGCCCAGCCTAAGCGGCGGCCCCGCCCATCCTTCCAGAAAGCCTGAGAGCCTCAGCCCTGGGAGGGCCGCGAAGCCTTGCCTGACTCAGATGGTTCCAGCGCCTAGGTTCCTGCCTGCCAGGGCTCCAGAGAGTTCCAACTCCCACCCCTGCACCCCCCTTACTGAGTCAGATCCCTTTACCGGGGCCGGGAAACCCCCTCCACAGGGAAACTCCTGGGCCTCGGCCTCGTGGATGGTTTTCAGAGCCCAGGCTGGCCTGTTTGGCAGTCACCCCCAGAAGGCTGTCAGGTGAGGCAGCGTCACAGCCGCTGGCATCCATGTAACCGCCCAAGGGGGAGGGGAAGACTGGGCACAAAAGTGTGGCCAGCTGACGATGCGCCTCAGGGCACATGGGTCAGCAAAGGTCAGGAGGCCTGAGTCGAGTCAGGGTCACCAAGTCACGGGGCAGGCCAGGCTCTCACCAGCTGAGCCATGGGCCTCCCCACCCCCATACATAGCCTTAGGCGGAGGAAGTCATCCAAGCTCCACCCCAAGTCGGGGCCCTGAGCGGAAATGCTTGTCCTTGCTCAGGCCTAGGAGGACGTGATGGAGTCTTGACGCGCTCCTTCCTGTGGGCCCAAATCCGGAATTCCTAAGCAACCACCCCCGCAGCCTGGCAGCACTCCAGATCCCAGCGACTTGCTCACAAGAGGTGAAGCGCCAGCTTCCAAGGCATGTTCGCAAAGGCCTCTCCTCCCTCATGGCGCCCCTGCCCTCTAGCCATCCCGGTGCGGTAGCTCACGCCTGAGCTTCAAGCTGCTGTTGCTCGCTACCCTCGCTCTCCCCCCAGGACGCAGGGGCACCACAGGCAGCCCCACCAACTGCTCTGGGGGTGACTGCTCAGAAAGTGAAGCGGAGCTGGGAGGGGAGGGGAGGGACCAAGAGGGAGGTGTACTTGCCCGTGACCCATGGCAACTCCATAACAAAGCCCAGGGCCCTTCCCCTCCAGCCTGCCAGACTGAGAGCTCGGAGGCACGTCTTACAGGTGACTCGGGTGCCCGGGGGAGTTTCGGGATGGGGGGTGGGGTGCGGCTCTCCTAGAACGGATTCTGGAAGAGATTGGGCTGAGGAAGCCTAAGCAGCGGGCAGAGGAAGCTTATGTCGCCCTGGCCCAGTTGAGGCCGGTTGTGGGCCAGCGCGGGAACAGGTAGGGGTAGTAGGGACTCCACCCTCCAAATCCAAACGGACCTGTGTGGTGGACAGAGCTGGATAGGTCTGTCCCTCCTGGCTAGGGGTGAGAGGCACAAGCCAGAGACACCTCCTCCTGTGGGCAAAGCCACGTGGAAGGGAAACCCAGGGGCTCTGAGTTCACTGAGGCCCCATCCATAGAGCCCGGAAGGAAAGAGGGGCGCAGGGCAATCTGGCCCAAGATGGTTAAGCAGCACCCCTGCTTCTGTCCTAAGGGCTTGGCTATTGACCTTCCGAACAAGGGGACCCTGAGCATCCAGGAGTCCACACAGCCCTGGACTAACTGCTCAAACACAGTGGGGAAAGGGGTGCTGCCGGTTGCCATGGTGTGAACTCTGACTCCTGTAAGCCGTCTCCATAGGATTCCCAAGGCTGTCTGATATCTTCCTCCGGCAGAGCAGCTGCCGGGTTCAAAGGCTGACCTTGGCTAGCAGCCCACTGCTCAGCCACGCAGCCCAGGGACAACCACTGAGTCCGAGACTGTGCAGTGTGTGAAGCTGCCCAGGGAAGGGCATCCTGCCTAAGTGTGGGTCTTCCAGTTGGCAGGTCCATGGCTGGCAAGCCTCTGCCCCCTGGAATCCAAGAGGAGGAGAAGATCGCCAAAGACTCTGGGCCCAAACTCCCACCAGCACGGCCCCTTGGCCGCCTGCCCAGCATTTGTGAGGCTCGGCCCACAGGCCCAGGCCCAGCCTCGCGTCGTGGCTCCCTGCTCGGCCAGGCAGCATCTTTCTCACGCCGCAACTCACTGGTGGGGCCGGGGGCGGGTCCTGCCGGCCGACGACCATCCCTGGGCCCTGTCCCCCCTCCTCTTGGCTCACGAGTCAGCTTCTCGGGGTTGCCCTTGGCACCGGTCCGCAGAGTGGCACCTTCGTACCGCACAGAGCCCGCCCCTGGGGAGCGCTGGCAGGCTGCCCGTGCACAGCGCGCCCTGGAGTCGGCGCTGGCCGCCGCGCTGCGCAGCAAGTGCTACTTGGGCGCAGAGGCTGGGCCGCTGACGCGCGAAGTCTGCGAGCGGGTGCGCCTGCGCCTGCGCGAGTTCAGCCCTCCGCGCTACAAGCTGGTGTGCAGCGTGGTGCTGGGCCCGCGCGTGGGCCAGGACGTGCACGTGGTGAGCCGCGCGCTCTGGGACGCGGCACGCGATGGGCTGGCATCTGCCACCTTCACCAACTCCTCGCTCTTCGCTGTGGCCACGGTCCACGGGCTCTATTACGAGTGAGGAAGCCGCCAAGTTCTGCAAAAACGGTTTATTATCCCAGGAGGAGGCTCTCCCGGGGGCTCACATCCAAATAAATAAATGTCTGTCAATAAATAAAAGTGGTCCATAAATAATGCCCCCTAGCTGGGAGCTAAGGCTCAGGCTTATTTTGGAGGAGGGGTAGGCAGCCGCAACGACTGGCAGCCATTAACCCCAGTAAAGCTGGTCCCTGAGTCCCTGAGGGATACAGCCCAGAGCCCCCAGTGAGGCACCCAGAGGGAGGAAGAGGGCCATAAAGGCATAGGTCCGGGCCTGCTCTGCAGGTTGGGCCCTAGGCGGGCCCGCGGTCCTGGAGCAGACGCAGCGCATAGTGAAGTCGCTGCCGGAGATCCGGGGAGCAGCCCAGCTGCCGAAGGTGGGAAGCCAGGTAAGTGCAAGCACTTCGATTGCGTGCTACAAACGTCACCAGGAGAGGCTCCCAGCCAGTGAGGATCAGCTTGGTGTGGTCCCCATAGAAGTTCACCTGTGCACAGGAGGGCAGCATGCTCAGGGCCTCAGCCAGGACGAACAGTTGCCTCCCCAACACCCCGAGTCTCCCGGACCTTCCCCGCAGCCCCAGGACCAGGTCCTACCTGGACTGTGCCATCACTGAACAGCATGAGGAGGGCCTGGTCGGTCTTGGCCCACTGTAGCAGCAATGGGGGGGTGGGCCCCTCTACCTCTTCCACACTGGGCAGATCTCTACCCTGGGGGGAGGCACAGGTCACCAGCCTGATGAGAGCCAGGCCCCTGGCCACCCACCAAGGAGAACGAGAAGGGGTCAGAATGTGCAAGTCCCTTGCTTGTCCTACCTTCATAAGGTTCTGTTCCATATAGGTGGCAAAATACCGCAGGATGCCCAGCTGAGGCTGCAGTGCCCGGGGCACAGCGCCCACCGAGAAGGAGAAGTGCTTGGTGCTGGTGGGGTTGTAGTGCACAGTCCTGGGGACGGGGTAACGGGGCAAACAGATCAGAGGGAGCCCTGCACCAACTCTCCTCCCCTGGGAAATCTCAGTCCCCCCCAGCTCAGGAGCACACAGGACAAAAGACAAGCCTGCTGGGGACAAGGCGCCCGTGATAGCACTCACTTTTTGTTGGCCGACAGGGCCATGTGTGTGCCATCATTGAAGAGCACAGCCACACGCTGGCTAGACAGTTGATACCCAAAGCCAAACTTGGAGTGATTGACCCATTTGATGACCCACACCAGAGGCTCTGGCTGTGCCAAGGGAGCCGGGTTCCGTTCCGCTGTCATGGGAGAGGAGGGAGTGAGGACCTGTTCCTGGCATGTCCCCCAGCATTCCCATGTATGGGAACCCAGCCTTACCTGGAGGCATGAAGGCCACGCAGTTTCTCAGAGCACAGAAGGCTGACTCCACCACGGTGGCTACAGTCAGACCTTCTTCAAACCCTGAAGGCAAACAGGATGGTGGGAATTAAGCATAAAGATATAGGCCACATCCCTCCACCCACGTCCTTCCTCGGAGCCTGGGTCTCAACCCAGGGTCCTCTCAGCCTCCCTGGTTCCTCACCATCTCCACTGCTCGCCAGTGTCCCCCTGGGGGAGCTGTCTTCAGGTGCTGTCTCTACCAGGCTGACAGGGACCGGACCAGAAGCTGCTGGAGCCTGGGGAGGGTTACAGTAGGGCCCTGAAATAACAGATCCTGGGGAGCCCATGGCCCAGCCCTGCCCTGCAGGGCACCCCAGGTCAGCCTCGCCTGGCTAATGAGACACAGCCAATTAGGCCAACACGAGGTGGATGCCTCATCAGCCTTTTATCCTGGGCTTCCCGCAGCAACAAGGTTGGGGTGAGTCAAGGCACATGGCCCACGTGAGCACCTCACCTCTGGCCTGGCATCCTGATGGCCGATAGATGTCCGCATGAGGCTGCTCACCAAACAGGGGAGCTCATCCCGCTCCTCAGAACGGTTCTTACCTTGGGGAGAAGAGAGGATGGGGAGCTAGCTCTCAGGGTCCTTCCCTACCCAGGCCCCCTGCTCCTCACAGGGATGACGGAGACAGGCATACGTACCCCAGGGCCAATGCCAGTACAACACGTGCTCTCCCCAGGAGTTCACATGCACCCTCATACATAAGAGCCCCCCACTCTACACTCTAAACCCACCACCCACTCACACCCCAGACTCACTCTTCTTTTTCCTTTCAAAGAGGCTCTTGGTAACTTTGGCAAAGAGACTCCTAGCCGGGTTGGGGGGTGTCAGGTCGGGGACTGTCATGCAGCTACTGGCAGGAAGCTGGTCAGGGGTGTAGCCCTGGGGAAGGGAGTCACATGAGCAGAGAGGAGAGGCACCAGGGATCCTGTCACTGGCCCCCATTCAATCCCCTGGGAGTAGGCAGACTGGACTTTGAGATGTGGTGAGCCACAGACCTTGGTAAAGAAGTCATGGCGCAGAATCTGGTCAATCGAGGGGCGATCTCGGGGCGAGGCCCGTAGGATGGCGGCCAGGAGCTGCCGGGCAGGCTGTGAGAGGCTGGCAGGCAGCGTGTAGTGAACCTGCTTGATGCAGCGGTATGTCTCCTTCAGGTCAGCTGTTTCAAAGGGGGGGCTCCCACACAGCAGCGTGTACCTGAGGGGCAGGGGGAAAGTCAGGAGTCAAGGGGAGGGAGGTCCTGGCCCCTGGCCCCACCTGCCTCTCACTGTCCTGGGACTCACATGACACAGCCCAGCGACCACACGTCAGCCTCAGGGCCATGGCCCTGTCTCAGCAGCACTTCTGGTGCCACGTAATTGGGGGTGCCGCAGATGGTCCTGGAAGGGGGGAGGTGGGATAAAGGGGAAGGCTCAGCCCCAGCGCTGCTGTTGCAGCCTCCGCCACCCCTGCCCCCGCTGTGAGCCCAGACAAAGCAGCTGCCTGTCACCAAAGGCTAGCGAGCTCCTGCTTGTCCTGGGACAATGGATGGCGACTCTGGCAGCTGAGTCCCTGCTCACCCGCCTGGCCCAGCTGCCCAGCAGCTCTCCAGGCTAGGGGGAGGCCCTGGCCCCTAACCCACCTCCCTCTCCCCGTCAACAGAGGGCCCAGCCCTGAGTGCCCCTCCCCCTGCTGCCGTCTGTCAGGCACCAGTACGGGCTGTCACCTCCCGTGGTCTGTGCTGCACACACACACCAACACCAGCTGTCACACTCCCCATAGACACTCATCTCCCTCCCATGCTGTGTGTGCCAGGCACACCCACTCATCCCGGTCACACCCACAATCGTCACACAGGCACATGCAGATGCACACCCACACACAATGCCTGCTGTGGCACCTTCCCCCTGTCCACTCAGAGGGTCAGTCAGGCACCTCTAAGAGCTCTTACACCTCCATCTGGCTCAGGAACTCACAGTCAATTACCCCATCTGTGTCACACACCCGGAGGGCCCTCTGCCACGCCCAGTATCCCAAGCTGCCACCTCCATCTTCATAGGTGAACAGCCCATCCCCTCCTCCTCCATCTGTCACACACACTCCCTGTCACACACATCCTCTGTGTCACATGCAGACTGTGGTCACCATCTCCTCAACACTCACTTTTTCCTCTGCTCCGGGGGCTCCAACTGGGCTGCCAGGCCAAAATCGCCTATCTTCAGCTTCATGTCTTCCGTGATGAAAAAATTCCCTGGAAGGTGCAAGAGAGTGTGTCAGCTGCCTTCCTCTCCCCCTTCCCCCTCTCCCTGCCTGCTGGTCCCCAATCTTACCCAGCTTGAGATCCCGATGCAAGATGCCCCGCAGGTGCAGGTACTTGAGCCCCGAAAGAATCTGCCGCAGGTAGTAGCGCACTTCGGGCTCCAACAGGGTATACCGGGCTTTCCAGATGTGAGCCAGCGACTGTGGAGAGTCCCTGTCTCAGCCGGGGGTGCCCTGCCTAACCCTTCTCCATCGGTGCCCCCAAGGCCCCTCTCCCTACCCCATCGCCATGTGCCTCCTGTTCCTCACCTTCCGGCTGCAGAGCTCCAGGAAAATGTAAATGTTGTCCGCGTCCTCAAAGTGGTGTGAGAAACGCACAATGTGGCGGTGCTGTAGATCTCGGTGCAGTTCGATCTCGTTTAGGATCTGCCATGGGCAAGTGGGGTCGTCATTCTCCTAGGGCCTCTGCGGCACCATCCCCACCTCCGCCACCGCCACCCTGCGTCCTCGGGGCCTGGACCTACCTTCTCGCGTTGATGCGGCTTGGCGACGCGGCTCTGGGGGATGACTTTGACCGCGTAGGCGCTGCCAGTCTCCGTGTCAGTGGCCTCGTAGCAGCGGGCGAAGCCCCCCTATGAGAGAGAGGCATCGGGGTGCTCACGGGGATCCGGGGGCTGGAAAAAAAGGCCGGCGGGGCCCCTCTCTCCCAGCCGGTACCACCCTCCAGGCAGCCCCTGGCCCACCTTGCCCAACAGGCGGCCTTTGAAGTAGGTGCGGCCGCTGCAGGGGTCCGTGATGAGGCGCCCGGGA